ATCAATTGCACAGGCTGTTTTATTTATCCCATTTATTGTTGTGTTCAGAGTGTCTTTCATGTCCTTCATGTGAACATCTTTCCTCTGGTATTCACTTTTTAACGTAGTGATTTCAGATTTCATTTTGTCTACATTTCACTTGAGCTTCTGGTCTTCACCAGAGTACGAGGGGCGTAAGTGTTCAATAAGTTTTGCAACTTCAATATAAGATGCCTCAATACACTTACTTCATTTGTCCTTCAAGTTTGTAATACCACTTTTATAGAAATATGCAGACGCAACGCCTCTGTGGCAGCCTTTATGTCCTCTTAATCCTGGAAGCGTCTTCCACGTGAGGGCAGATTTCATTTGCCGGGACAGGAAATAGTCACTGGGGTCTGAGTCTGGGTTCGAACAGTTAAATAACCCACCCTACAGCCCAGACTTTGTGTAGCTCATGGATACAATGTGTGTAACTCAAAGTTGCAGTGTGTGTAGCTCCTTGGTACAGGAGTAGTTGGTGGTAGGAGTACAGAACCGCTCCTGGCTTCTGATTGGTCGGTTTTGTCGTCATCAGAGGTCACAAGACCTGTGCAGGGCATTGTGGGTCATACGTGCGCATCCAAGTTGGCAGCACTTCCGGTTCCGTGAGGTCATCTCCCCATCCAAGAGGGCGGCACGGCGCCTCCAAGATGGCGGCGGAGGGGAGGGAGGCGGAGGGGGAGGGGAGGGAGGCGGCGGCGGCGGCGGCGGCGGCGGCGGCGGATGGGGAGGGGAGGGGAGGGGAGGGGAGGGGAGGGGAGGGAGCTTTTTTTGTCGGTTTGGTGGGTGGGTGGGTGGTGATGGTGAAGAGGGTAGTCGAAGCAATGGAAACGTTCTTTCGGGAGAGATTGGTGGCCCTGAAAATTGACGTTGGAAAACAAACTGGAAACTGGAAACGACAGGAAACTGTAGGAAAACTGGAACACTGGAACACTGGAACACTGGAAACGACTTGAAACTTGAAAAACAGTGGAGCAGCATGTGCCATGCGTTAGTCACTTTGCTCAGATGAACTATCTTCTTTTTCTTCTTCCTCCTCCTCCTCAGAATGATGACGTCGGCGGCGCTTTGAAGAGTGCTTTCTTGAGGGGCTTCTGTCCCGTTTGCTTGTGCCTAGACGTGGCGTGATGTCTGCATGAAGTAGTGCGATGCATTCTTTTAGGGCACCGACCTGGATATGCATGGCTTCTATGAGATGAAGCACTTGTGTCACTGGTGTCGACATGGTCGGCGCTGCAGAAGTCTTCTTTGGACTGACTTCTGGGCAAACTGCAGCGAAATGGCACACGACTTGGCAGTTTGTAACATGGGCCCGGGGAGTCTTCTTTCGGCTGGGTTCTGGACAATCTGCAGCGAAATGACCCACGACTTGACAGTTGTAAGATGGGCCCTGGGGAGTCTTCTGCTTATCTTCACTGCTTGTCTTCAGACAGACATAGTGGCGGTGACCTTGAGTGTGGCACCGGTACTACATACAATCCCAGGCTTCTGAGAGGTCAGATTTCCATCCTGTTTTTTCTGCGGTGTGCATTTCGATCCTGTTTTTTCTTCCTGGGGTGAGCATGCTGTTTCCCTATCCTAAAAAGACATAACACTTATTTTTGTTCAACTTTTTATTCCCCACTAACATGAACCAACACAACAAAACAAAAAGCCACAGGATGAGGGGGCGTCCTGTGATTTTTGTGAACACTAGGGTGACCCCTAGGGTGTGAACGTCTGTACATTCCTAAATGAAATAAACACTGTAGTGAACAGGAAACTTTATCACTGGGAGTGAACGGGGCACTCGACTCTTCTCTTCCGTGCTTCTTTGGACACCAGACGTCTGTATTTTTAGTTCACTTCTCTATCAGGACAAAACACACACAAGTATTTTCAGGGGACTTTGGCGTGCTTCAGATGTTCTTTCTAGGGTTTGTCTGTGGCTTCCCATTGGCAGAGTGTCACACCGCAGCAATACCAGATAACACAGTCACCGCGTCCTTGACAGAAATAGCCAGCCATGGCCATGTCCTAAGGGGTCTGGGTCATCTGTTTAGGCCACGTTTGAAAAGACCTTACACGTTCTTGAAAAGAAATCATAGTTAGTATGAGAAGGATGAAGGTGTAAGAAGGAGATGGTCACTCCAGAATGTCACTGAGTCGCCATGTGTCTTCGGTAAAGAGTGTGTGTTTTCTAGCTTGTTCTCTCGCCTTTTCACACACACACACACTCGGTATCGGGGACATCTCGGGATGATGGCATGGCATTCATAGACTGTCTTTGCCCCATGATGACTGTGACTCCACTGAAGGAAGGTCTGGGGGTTCGCCTGATTTTATGAAAGTCTCTACATCTCATAGGATCGGCACATACACGAGGGGTAATTTGGATCTCAAAAACAGGCGGGCACGTACGCTATGGTCTTGCGTGGTGGGCTTCAAATCCAACAACAGGTAAGTGTAAGGCTCTTGGGTGGCGTCTTCATAGGCTTCATGCAGAAAAGGAACTTTGCCTGGAAACACCTTGTGAGCCAGGCTGTTGATCTGCGATGCATCTCTCGGATTTTTAACGAGGACCATGTAGTGAGCATTCAGACTGATGGTGCGATGTTGCGACGATTGGGCAAACAAGTTCTGAGTGAGGTACAACACGGATGTGTTACGGTGATGACTTTTCTTGGTGAACCATCGAGCACTTCCATTTCTTCTTCTTTCGTATTGTCCCCCAGCAAATCATCTATGACCAGGCAATGCAGGGCCACCACTTTTTCATGTTGTGCACAAACTCAAGAGTGACCCCTAAGCGGTCTGCCATTTCTTCCAGCTCATGATGAAGCGGTTGCCATTCGCTGTACACCCACACAATGCAATGGGGTGGCATATCCAACACCTCGGGGCGATGCATCTGCTCCATACATGATATCACAAAGGATCTTTTTCCTGATCCCGTGGGTCCCGCAATGAACATTGTAAAAGGGTGGCGTAGGGTCAAAGGGGAGGTCACGGCTCTTCATCATCATCATCATCATCCTCATCACGTGACGTCATCCTGTGTTCTTGCTGACTGACACACGGCAGCGGCGGTGGTGGTGGCGGGGATGTCACAGGTCTCATAGGTGGTGTTCATGTGTTCATTGACGACGGTAACATCTTCGATTGTATTTCATTCATCTCTCCATAAGGCAAAGTACTGCACAGGGTCGTTCACACAGACGTTCTGACTATAGTCTAACCGCTGTTCGAACTTGTCCCAGAATGAATTTAGAAAGAGCTTGGCAATATCGCAAAGTCCTGGGTTCTTATCGATGCGGTCCTTGTCGAACCGAATGCCTTCTTCGTCATAGATCTCCTTGAGGTAACCATCGTGATCGGTACATCCCTCGGGTCAAAGGGTCCTTCTTGCTGGGTCTGAGGGTCATGCTGTGCAAAGGTGTCGAAATGCTAAACGTCGAAGATCTGAAACACCTTGAAGCCATACTTCTTCACAACTTCATGGCGTTCTACGGTGGCGTACGAGCCCACCCAAGACCTCACTTCCTCCGTGTGCGCGCAGGGTGAGTCTGACCAGATATCGGCACACGTGCGGCACAAAGGACAGAGCAGTTTTTCACCCGATCTGTAGGGCCGTTTCACCTCAGGGTGTTGGTTCAAGAGACTCAGGCGATAACATCAGTCTCTGGTCCACCTCTTGACTGTAGACTTTCAGTTGATTTGGGCCAAGGCACGTCCCACGCATGCTACGTCGTCCAAGCCCCGACAGGGACTTTCAAGAATGACAAGGCGCCGAAACAAGTCCTGTGCCATGGTGGCATCGATGTTCAGGGCTTTGTTGGACTGTTGGACATTTTCAACACTATGTAAGATATCTAGCCCATGGAGATCTTCAAAGCGACGAAAGGGAATCCGTATGGGAGTGTTCAAAGCGGGGTTGTCCTGTCAGGATACAGCTAACGATCCACCCGTGCCTTTGCACCACTGGGTCTATGTGGGTGAGGGAGTAATCTTCTTCTTCTCCAAAACGGCCCTTTTCAGGACCACCAATCTCTCCCGAAAGAACGCTTTCATCCATCATTGCTTTGACTACCCTCTTCACCATCACCACCCAACCAATCAACATCCCACCCTTCCACCCTTCCACCCACCAAACCGAAAAAAACAACCAAAGAACCCAACTCCATCCCTCCTCCGCCGCCGCCGCCTCCGCCTCCCTCCCCTCCACAGCCGCGGCCACCGCCATCTTGGAGGCGCCGTGCAGCTCTCTTGGATGGGGAGATTGCCCCTCGTAAACGGACGTGCCGCCATCTTTGATGCCCACGCATGACCCACAATGCCCTGCACACCGACTTAACAGAAGCCAGCAGCGGTACTGTACTCCTGCCACCAACTACTTACAGTGTCTGTAGATTTTCGGTACAATGTGTGTAACTAATGGTTGCAGTGTGTGTAGCTCATTGGTACAGTGTGTGTAGATCTTGGTCACAATGTGTGTAACTAATGTTTACAGAGTGCATAGGGCATGGGTGCATCATGTGTAACCAAATAATACAATGTGTGTAACTAGTGTCTACAGAGTGCATAGGGCATGGGTGCATCATGTGTAACCAAATAATACAATGTGTGTAACTAATGTTTACAGAGTGCATAGGGCATGGGTGCATCGTGTGTAACCAAATGATACAATGTGTGTAACTAATGTTTACAGAGTGCATAGGGCATGGGTGCATCGTGTGTAACCAAATACTACAATGTGTGTAACTAATGTTTACAGAGTGCATAGGGCATGGGTGCATCGTGTGTAACCAAATAATACAATGTGTGTAACTAATGTTTACAGAGTGCCTGGGGCATGGGTGCCTCGTGTGTAACCCAATAATACAATGTGTGTAACTAATGGTTAAATTGTGTGTAACTTGCGTTGTTCATGGTGGGTAATTTACCAATCAAATATATAACGGGATTACATATTCATCTCTGAGTATTGATTCACATTTCAGCGAGAAGATGCCAACTTGGGTTTACCAACCTTGGTGGAGCATGCTACTTGTTTTCGCATAACCATGCCACCTATGCTGAAGCCAATGTAAGTTCTTTGTATTTACTTTGTAATAAGTAATTTATACATGTTTTTACATGTACAGTAAAGTAAGGTTATAACGAACTCAAAGGGACTACTAATTTTAGTTCGTTATAACCGAAGTTCGTTATAAGCATATATACAGCATAACTACAGCAAATAGTCGGGACCGAAAAGTAAGTTCGTTATATCCGTCAGTTCGTTATAAGCGTGTTCGTTATAACCGTAGTTTACTGTACATATCTATATTCTATGCCTCATAGCATTTATTCACCTGATGAAGGATTGGCATATACTCCGAAAGGTTGTGTTTCTCATAATAAAGAAGTTGACATGCAGAAATTATCTCCCTTATGTTAAAGTAGTGTAAATGTATTGAAGGAAACCATTGCATTTGATATAAAAAAGATTGCAAGATTGCAAGTTGTTTGACGAGTTTGTGCTATCGTTATTATCTGTTTAGTATCTTCACTTTAGAATGCATGCGGTTACTTGTGTATTTGAACTTGGCAACTTTTCTGATTTCGATATAAATATTTCTTTGCTCTTAACTATTGTACTCTATCTCATTTCCCCTTTGTCCTTGGTGAACTAATATCTCAAGTAGAAGTCTTTCAATCTGTGTAAGTCACACCAAATTCACTACTTCAGTTGAGTTATATCAGCATGACAACTCTCCACAGTCCTTCTGCCTGTTCTTCGGGAGTCACTTGGCCGACATCACCAGCAAGAATGAAGATGACTTGATCAGGAGCTACCTTCTGAGGCATGGCAAAGGTAACTGTAAATATGACTTGACATACAGATTTGTAGTGTCAATGTCACACGAACAGACTGGATTGTTACTGAAATCAACGATGGTTTTTAAACACATTTCCCTCAAAGAATCGTCTCTAATAGAATAATGACAACAATAGTAATAACAATAAAGGCTTTCTGTTTGTCGCTCAAGACCAGTCACTTCCCACTCGAAACCGTCAATGTGTGATTTTGCATCAAAATGTAAATATGAAATGTGCGTCATTGAAAATGATAAATACAAAATTCTTTGGAATGGCCCGTACACAGCCTCAGACGTAGCCAGGCCAACGAACGTGATCTTGTCCTTTTTGATAAGTCAAATGAAATCATTCATATCATTGAATTTTTTGTCCCTTTTGATACTAATGTGATTGACAAGATTCAGCAAAAACATGGAATATATGCGGGTCTCGCTTTCGAAATGTCACGCTTGCATCCCAAGTACCAAGTTGTCCGACTTCCCATTGTTCTCGGTGCCCTATGTGTCGTACCCTCCAATCTGTTGACTGACATTGGGAGAGTAGCCGGGTTTGCTACCAGGAATACAACCCTTCTGACAATCTGGGTAATGCAGAAGGCTGCAGTCTTGGGGAGTTTTCACATTCTCCAAACAGTTCTGGGTGGGTTTGACTGGGCAGCGCTTTCTGGAGGAGTCCCATTCGCTGTTTGGGCTGTGTGTAGAGGGGAGATAGTATTCACTCCTTTTTTGAGACATCCTTTAGATTAATTGTTGCATATATTGGCTCACGTCTTGGAGAATAGTCATGGGAAAGTATCGTAGCACGAATTATGGAATTAAAAATATAAACATAACCATGATCAGATAAATTCAACAGAAATCGTGAATGTTTCCGTTCTGTGTGATGCCATAACTGACGCAAAATCACGCACAACGACGACGGTAGTTATCTGCGCGCATTCTCTGACGAATTGTTTTGGTTTCAATGAAAAACCTAAAATCAAATAACAGACTGTCAGAATGTTTCTGATTACTTACATGTCAAATTTATTATATGCGATCCCTGAATCAACGAAAGTCCCCGCGTAAATTCCCACGTATTGTTGTCAGTCAACACGACAGTTTGTAAAAGTCGGTCACCGGTAGTGATGTCATGCAGAAGTAAACATTGTTGTACATTTTTGGTTATTTTTTTGCGCGAGAAAATTATTAACTCGGCATCTAGCGGGTTCATTGATCTAAACTAGTTTGCATTATCATGATCGCCTTGATAATCCACAGATATGGCGGAAATATTTTTGTATAGGGTCACATAATGAATGAGTAGTAAGCAGTACGTCGGGTGACGTAAAGAATGACCGTTGTGCTCTGTATAATGCGCAACTGCAATCATGAGATTGGACAAAAAATGATGACATCGATTCGATGCTCAAATGGTGCGATTTTAGGGATCTTGCTGGTTAGATACGTTTTGAAACAGCTCGTTATAAGATCAATGGTATCTGACAGACGCTCGTGTAGTGATCTCTATGTCTTATCTCGTAAATAGGCTCTCAATTCTACATCGGCGCCACTGATCTGAGAGCAGAAGGCATCTGGACCTGGGAGCACCCCTTGAGGAAGGTAGTTGGCTACACCAACTGGTATCCAGGTGAACCCAATAACCACGAGGGTAAAGAGCATTGCATGGAGATGGCTTCTGGGCATGGCTTCAAGTGGAATGACTTTTACTGCTACACGAAGGCGCGGTTCATTTGTGAACAATCTCGTATTTGATTTTGTCATATATGCACGAGCAAACTTCAAACGGCAGTCATTGTGTCTTGCTGAATACAAACGTCAAACGTTTAGATATAGACAATTGTGTTCAATTTGATGATATCAGTATACCTGTCCCCGGATCATGAAACTTACTTCAGACCATATTTTGTCTTAACTCTTAAGATTTAGACTCAAGACCAAATTTTGTCTTAAATCGGGGATCACGAAGCTCAATCACTGCAAATATCTCAAGTCTAAGACAAAATTTGATCTTTAGTCCTAAGACTGCCCCTGGGTAGACTTAAGACAAAAATTATAGGAAGAAAGATGGCGGAGGTTGTTCGCCTCATGCGTCGCCTAAGGGCTAAATAGGACAAAACAGTAATTCATCGGACATTTCGAGATCGATTCAACCCTCTTGATCTGTACAACGACGAAGAGCTCTTTGATAGATACAGATTTCGTCGTTCTACCATTTTTTTCATCGTTGGCTTAATCGGTGATGAACTGGCACACCCCACTCAGCGTTCACACAGTCTCCCACCCATTATTCAGGTTTTGATTTTCCTTCAGTTTGTTGCCACTGGGGCTTTTCACTTATTAGTTGCTCAGTCGTTCTGTATCAGCAAAGCAACAGCCGGCAGGTGTGTCCGACGAGTGGCAGAGCTACTCTGTAGGCTGTCGTCTCGTTTCATCGCTTTCCCGACAGGCCAGAGATCACATGACGTAAAACGTGCCTTCCATGCTATTGCCGGTAAGTAATACACCCAAAATTGACATTTGAGCATTAACATAACACTCTGAATATACACATACACGATAAGGACACATAGTGTTTTCGCCGAGTTTCCGAAGTCAGCCATTTTGATCTAAAATTAGAACACGACACTGGTGCCACCTATAACTTACTTTACCGTATTCGTGCTAAAAGTGATGAAACTACATTGCTCTGCTTCAGTTCCACAAGCATGCTCAGATCACTGCTAATATTTAATGAATTACTTTATTTAGGATTTCCAAATGTGCCTGGCTGTGTTGACGGCACACAGGTCAAAAGCCAATCGCCAAAGGTCAACGAGGCTGACTTTGTCAACAGAAAGGGATTTCATTCTCTGAATGTTTAGGTACTTGAAATAACAAATGGTGTTTGTTTTAAAAAATGATTTTTCGTAATTGAAAAATGTCCATAAACATTGAATTCATACTACAGTACAGGTCGGATTATGGCATTTATGTTAACTGAATAAAAAACAATGTGCATGTTCACAATGACAAATAATTTATTAATACACAAATAAATACAAAGCTTTCAAATGGATGTGTATGTAATTTCTAGCATCTGCAATACTAATTTGACAATACCCAAAACATATGTTTTGGTAAATTTGATACAAAATCCGCAAAATAATGGGTGTACATACAGGTACAGGCTGAGATTTCATTAAACAAATACAATACATCCCAGAATTTGCTTTTGCTTCAGACCGTTGAAAAATATGTTTTTTGCTTACGCTTCAGACTGTTGAAAAATATGTTGCCTGACACAAAATAAATGTTAAAGGATGTTTTAAAACTGACAAACAAGATAATTTTCCATTCTCCCACCAATCATTCATATCATCAAATATTATCATAATACAGATTGTATATTTCTTTTACATAGATGGTTTGCAACCCCAACTGGCCTGGATCATGCCATGATGCCCGCATATATCAGGGAGAGTAAACTCTGCGATAATTTGGAAAATGATAAGTATTTGAGGGTTAAGTGAGGGTTAATCATAAGAGATCTTGTCATTCTAGGTAGTGCAAAACAATTAATTCAATACCTTTTACATGGGGCAATACATGTTGCATGTTGGTCGATGTAGTGTGAGTCAGATACTGGACATTTTACAGAGCTATTTTGGATTTACAAAATCCACATCAATCTAACATAAATGCATTTCATTCAAGAGTGCACTCCCTTGATGTATTAAAAAACAGTTGTATTTTATGTGAGCTTCTTTCACTCCAAATCCTCAGATTTTGCTTCTGAAATACTGTAAAGTTCACCAATATATTTTACATAAATTTCATAAACCAGGATATGATGTTGATGTTGATCTAAAATAGTGTTATGTCTCTATGGCACATATCATGATTTATGATCAATCTGGGAATATTGGAATTTAAGACATCCTTAACATACAGTAAACAATACCCCTGCAAATTAGAATGTAAGTATGTTTCCAATAGACACTTTGCAAACATTAATACATGTGGTCAATGATATTACCCACATGGTAAACCTACATACATATACTCTACATACATATATCCAACTTTACAAGATATTCTGTGACCCAATATGAATTCTTTATCCATATCCTTAGAAAATCAGTAAAGGTTTCCCTCAAATGTCAACCATACTAAAAAGATTTCTATGAATATAAGCATCTACATTCAGTGTTGACTCAAGTCCAAAACATCCCAAAAGACAAAGACTAATTACTATGAACATGAACATTTATGATGACTACATTACCAAGTTTCTTGTCAAATTCATTTCATATTTTGAAATTGTAGGTAAAATTGGGCTCTTATCATAGTTGTCCTTTCTGAACTAAAGTTTAAAAACATATGAAAACAAATTGCACATATATATATTTCAGTTGTTCATGATAGATTCCTGCTGGGTGACTCTGGGTAACCCTGTAGACGATACCTGATGACTCGAGCTCCCTACCACAACACTGGCAATATCAGACACAGAGACAGATACAATTATTCTCTCTGCAGAACACGTGTTCTGATTGAACAAACTTTCGGTTTTTTAAAGAGGCGATTTCCTTGTCTATCTTTGGGACTGAGAACCAATCCAACCAGAGCATGTAAATATGTTGTTTCCTGTGCAACTTTACATAATATAGGAATTTTGAAACAGGTTATAGTAATTAATCATGTTGATGAGTTGTCAGTTCAGGGTCCAGATCAGCAACAGCAGCAGTTTCGGAGAAATGATGGTTTGGGCATAAGAGACCACATTGCCCAGAGCTACTTCAGTTAGAAAAAAACACACAACCTAAATCAGTCTAGCAGGTGGGCACAGTAGAGACAATTTAAGGATAACAACTTATTCATTTACTGCAAAGGCGACATGTCCGAATAGATCAATCAAGGGTGAATAATGAACATGGTACAGAATAATTATTGTTGATGGAGGATTAACAGTATCAACAATTTCATGTCACAGAGATTAACAGAGAGTATCTTTGAATTACTTCTTTCAGTGGCATTCAGAAGTTGGTGTGATGAAGTAAGACGAGTTCTATGGATGAACAACTTCTGTATTACAATTAGTGCGACGTTTCGGTGTAGATCCTAACACCTTTATCAAGCAAGTGATGAATAGTGCTTACTTACTTATATTGGAGATTTTACGTGCGCTTTCCGACTGCAGCGTATTTCGCACACGGGCCCGGCCAAGCCATTTAATGTCTTTCCGAAAAAGGGGAAAAAGTTGTTTGGCAATCCAGTAGGGGTGTTTTAGTGGTATATTTTGAGATTTGGAAAAAATGCCAAGAGGGTTTGGGGGGCGAACTAAGGGACCTGAGTATGGAAGTTAGTTAGTTTGATTATGTGGTTTGGTTTTGGTAGTTTATTGGGGTTTTAAATGCGATTTATTAGTCCTGTTTTGATTAAGTATGCGCCTAAGGCTTTGAATTTTTCTATTTTATTTTGTGGGTTTAGGATTGCTTCTAGAGTAAGAGCCTTATTTAGATTTAGGGTGGTTTGTAGTGTAGTTCGGTGTGTTAGGTAGTGGGTGCAGTGTATGAGTGCGTGTTCTGGGGTTTCTTGTTGTTTGCAATGTTGGCAGGTTCCTGTTGCGTGTTTTCTTATTATTTTGAGGTTGTTATTTAGGTTGGTATGTCCTTTTTGGAGTTTAGTAATTACTCTGTCGATTTTTTGGACGGATGTAGCATTTTTGGTTTGGTTAGGGGTTTTTTTTAGAACCTTTTTGCTTTGGCGATTTGAGTTTTGATATAGATTATGCCATTTTTGGTGATTTTTTGTTTGTTGACACTTTTAATTTCTGATTTGGAGATGGGTAGGTTTAAGCTTATTTCTGAGATTTTAAGGGATAGTTTAGCTGCTTTATCAGCGTTTTCATTGCCGTATATTCCTACGTGGGCGGGGATCCAAATGAATACTATTTGTTTGCCTGCCTTAGTTAAATCGTTTGAGCTTTTTAGTATTTGATTTATTAGTTCAGGGCGGTTTTTGGTGTTTTTATTTTGGAGGGCTTGTAGTCCACTGAGCGAGTCGGTAAGTATTAGGATTTTTGTTTTGTTTTTTAGATTGTTGATTATGAAGGGCTGAGGCCATGCCCATTAGTTCGGCCGTGAATATTGATTGATTGTTTGGGAGTCGGTAGGATTGTGTGGCTTTAGTCGGTTGTGTGATGTGGACTCCGAAACCTGTGTGTTTGGAGATCGGATTTGAGGATCCAATTTTCATGTATGTATGCTAGTGTGGTGGTTTTTGCTATGTTTGGGTCGGTTTGTTTATTTATTGTGCTAGCTAGTGTTATGTCTATTTTGGGTGTTTTAAGTTTTCGGAAGAATTTATTTGAATTTTTACAGTTTTGTTTATTTGGTGTTCATTTAAGTAATTGGTTATTCTTTGGGATATTGGAGTGAGTAGAGGGTGTTTTCGAGCTAGGGCTTGGTTTTTGGGGCTGATATGTTTGTTTATTAGGTTTTGAATTTGGGGGTTGGATTGAGACGCGGCCCAGAAATTTAGAGTTAATTGTTCCCTACGTAGATTTAGTGGCATTTTCCTGTTAAGACCTGGAGTGAAGTGTAGGAGGTGCCATGTTGAGTGCGTGTTATTAGTTTTAGAGCCTGATATTGGATTGAGTCTAGTTTTTTGCTTAGAGATTGGTTTAGGGTGTCGTATATGGCACATCCGTAGTCTATTTTAGATCTAATTAGTGATATATAGAGTGAGAGGAGGGTGTCTTTGGAGGCCCCCCAGTTTGAGCCAGTAAGGCACCTTAGCGTATTTAGATCTTTGCTACATTTAGTTATTAGATTATTTATGTGAG